ATTTTTTGGACCAAATTTCAGGATTTGTAAATTTATGACGATGTAATTTTGTGGAATGTTATTTTTATTTTCGAACACTTTTCGGCATGGTTTAACTTAAGAATCCCCAAGATTATCTTTAATTTCACCAATAAAATATTTATTTTTTTCAGTGTTTCGTCAAGGTGACATTGGCACCAATTGGTATACAGTGTTATCAGGATCTCTGGAAGTGACAGTGTCTGAGACTGGCAAAAAACAGGTAAGTCTCTTCTGCTATTGGTTCCTGGTACTAATTCCTCAAAAATGTTTACAATTCTTTTAAGTCGCGAGAAAACCAAACTTGTAACGAAATTGACAGACAGTTTTTTTGAGAAAGGGTAGAAATTGCCCGAGGCTTAGATAAACCTTTGACTTTTTCAAAATGGCACCTGGTACATATGATTTGTTTATAATAAGAAAATTCCAAATTGTCACTACGTTTTCCATTTGTAGTTTTTCGTCTAGTCGGTCGGATAGGAAAGTGATCCGAGGCCCTGTGTTCTACAGGCTGTACACGTTAAAGATCCCTCGACAGTTGGAAATTGAAAAAGAATAGGCTCATGTTAATGTCCTGACAAAATTTCCCTCATTGTACACTGCATGGTGTTGCCATTCTTCATTACATCATATGGTGTAGAAAAGTAGGATGTAAAACTCAAGCAGGCAGGAGTAGGTGAAGGCCACTGTCTTAGCAAAATTTCCCTCATTGCACACTGCATGGCATTGCCTGTCATCATTAGCCCAATCAGTAGGACGTAAAAACACCATTGGCAAACAGAAGTAGGCTAATGCTGCTATCTTGGCAAAATTTCCCTCATTGCACACTGCATGGTGTTGCCTGTCTTCATTAGCCCAAACAGATACAGAAAAGTAGGATGTAAAACTCCAATCATTTGATTTTTTACAGGATGCTGTTACGTTATGTATATTGGGACCTGGGACATCGTTTGGTGAATCTATATTAACCAATAAACCTCGTCATGCTACAGTCGTTACGAGAGATTATACAGAATTAATACGTGTTGAACAGAAAGATTTCAAAATTCTATGGGAGGTAGGTTTTTTTCACACCTACGAACTGGAGCCTTATTCACGAGAAAATTAACTTAAATGAAATGTAGATTTTAAGAAATACAGTAATCTGATTGGATAATGAAATTGAATTTAAAGTGATTGACCAATCAGATGACTGAATACTAAAATCTTCTTAAGTTAAGAAATACTGTAATCTGATTGGATAATTAAACTAAATTTAAAATAAATTTTAGTGATTGACCAATCAGATGACTGGAACACTAACACTTAAGTTATGAAATACAGTAATCTGATTGGATAATAGTATTTGAATGATATAACAACTTGTTCATTCTGTGTATTTTTTTTTTCAGAGAAACAAACAGTTAATGGAACGGGTATTAACTCCATTAAGTGCCTTGCAAAAACTAGGTAGGTTCAGTTATTATACGCCCACTTCTCTCTATGTGCGTCAACATTTGCGTGTAAACGCTCTAAAAACTAGATTTATTGATGGAATCAAATGAAATTGGGTATGTATATACATATTCATAAAACAAAGATCAAGTTCGAATTTGAGCTATTTTCGACTGTTAGAAGCAGAGTTATTGCCCTTGCCCCAAAATCTTGAATATTTACCATCCGCATGCTGTGGTGGGCATATATGGCTGTGTTGAAAATTTGGTAATTTTTTATCGCGTCCAAGTCTAGACCAAGAACCAACTCTTCTTGGCATTCTAATATAAACACTACTATTATGAAACTGTTTTCAGAAATTTTGTGATTTAATCGCAGTCATGCCTCGCTCCAGATCAATGTAATGTAAAGGGTTTATGGTATTTATATTGTAGAGAATAAGAAGTTGAAAGAAAGAAGTATTAGTTGTGTCAGTGGGAAATCTGTTGGTGGAAGATCGATGGGTAAATCATTAAGTATGAGCTGTGATGATGATGGTATGAACCCAGCTGCCCCTATTACTAGTGTAAGTATACTTGGTTTTAGAAGATTAGGAGCCACGGTGGCTCAGTGATGTTAGACGCTTGCTCGCTAACCCGAAGGTCCAGGGTTCAATCCCAGCATAGGTCAAGATAGTACCTTCAGATTTTTCAACCCAGTTTCCCCCTTGTCAGTGAGTTAGACGCTTGCTCGCTAACCCGAAGGTCCAGGGTTCAATCCCAGCATAGGTCAAGATAGTACCTTCAGATTTTTCAACCCAGTTTCCCCCTTGTCAGTGAGTTAGACGCTTGCTCGCTAACCCGAAGGTCCAGGGTTCAATCCCAGCATAGGTCAAGATAGTACCTTCAGATTTTTCAACCCCCTGTCAGTGAGGTAGATACTTGCTCGCTAATCTGAAGGTTTCCCCCTGTCAGTGTATAGGTCGGAGGGACTAATTTGGAAAACCGACTAGTCGTTCGGATGGGACAAAAAATCGAGGCCCTGTGTTCTTAAGGCTGTGCTCCCTTGACAGTTGGAAATTGATAAAAAAAACAGACTAATGTTGCTGTCCAGGTAAATTTTGCCTCATTGCACACTGCACGGCATTTCCCGTCTTCATAAGCCCAATTAGGATGTAAAACTAATTCATATATCCATCTATTCATTCATTCATTCATTCATTCATTCATTCATTCATTCATTCATTCATTCACTCACTCATTCATTGCAATGGTGAAGAGACCTACAAAAATATTCATTCATTCATTCATTCATTCATTCATTCATTCATTCATTCATTCATCCATTCATTCCAGGCGCCATCCCAGAGATTAGCTAGAGCAGGAAGAATTTTACGTACCATGTTATTGTGCCGAGCTCCTCACATGATACGAGATAGAAAACTACATCTACGTACCTACAGAAGATGTCTTGTGGGCTCGGAGATGGTTGATTGGTTGATGCAACAGAGTACATTAGTTCACCAGAGAAACCAGGCTGTCGGAATGTGGCAGGCTTTACTAGAAGAGGGCGTCATTGTTCACGGTAAGATCATTTTTATTTTTGATTCTTTTTATACGCCAACGTTATAATGTGGTCGTATATTGTCGTCGCCCCATGTCTGTCCATCCTTCTGTCCACAATTGGCTTGTGAACACAATAGAGACTACAGTTTTTATCTGATTTAATGAAATTTGGTTTGATCATTTATATTGATGAGATCTTGGACAAGTTGGAATTTGACAATCTTTCGATGAACTCTTTTTTAGTTATTGCCCTTGACTTAGGAAAAACGCAATATCTTGCACAAATTAGATTTTTGGTATGATTTGACACAGATAGGTTACTGCCCTTGATATCTATCAGGAAAGTAGGCGTATCTTGCTAGACAACCACTTGTTTTCAGTGGCGTAGTTCTGAGAGGTGAAACAAGGTGAAAGTTTTGAATAAAAATAAATAAAGGGGCTTCAAATTCTGTACATAAATGATCTTGCCTCTTTCAACACTAGGGGGGGCCACTCACTAACACAATATATACACGGTTAACAGGCCGTTACTACAACGTTAACGTCATACGCTTTTACTTTTATTACTTGAAGTTCAGGGTATATGACGTTTATTTACACTCAGTGTTCAAAGGGTTAATGTCAAATACTTTAAGTTAACACTCGGGGTTCAAAGTTTACTACCAGGATCACTCCCAAAATATACACACTTCAGCTTGCAGTTTGTAAAACAAGAAACTCATTTTTGGATTGACCAAGAACCAGCTGGTATAAAGGATCCTTGTGAACCTAAGTTGTTATCCTGGTAAAATCATTACCTAGAGGTTTGATCAAGGACCAGCTGGTAGAAAGGATCCATGTGAACCTAAGTTGTTATCCTTATAAAATCATTACCAAGAGGTTTGACCAAGGACCAGCTGGTAGAAAGGATCCTTGTGAACCTAAGTTGTTATCCTTGTAAAATTAATACCAAGAGGTTTGACCAAGGACCAGCTGGTAGAAAGGATCGTTGTGAACCTAAGTTGTTATCCTTGTAAAATTAATACCAAGAGGTTTGACCAAGGATCAGCTGGTAGAAAGGATCCTTGTGAACCTAAGTTATTATCCTTGTAAAATCATTACCAAGGGGTTTGATCAAGGACCAGCTAGTAGAAAGGATCCTTGTGAACCTAAGTTGTTATCCTTGTAAAATCATTACTTAGAGGCTTGACCAAGGATCAGCTGGTAGAAAGGATCCTTGTGAACCTAAGTTGTTATCCTTATAAAATCATTACCTAGAGGCTTGACCAAGGACCAGCTGGTAGAAAGGATTCTTGTGAACCTAAGTTGTTATCCTTGTAAAATCATTACCTAGAGGTTTGATCAAGGACCAGCTGGTAGAAAGGATCCATGTGAACCTAAGTTGTTATCCTTGTAAAATCATTACCAAGAGGTTTGACCAAGGACCAGCTGGTAGAAAGGATCCTTGTGAACCTAAGTTGTTATCCTTGTAAAATTAATACCAAGAGGTTTGACCAAGGATCAGCTGGTAGAAAGGATCCTTGTGAACCTAAGTGGTTATCCTTGTAAAATCATTACCAAGAGGTTTGACCAAGGACCAGCTGGTAGAAAGGATCCATGTGAACCTAAGTTGTTATCCTTGTAAAATCAATACCAAGAGGTTTGACCAAGGATCAGCTGGTAGAAAGGATCCATGTGAACCTAAGTTGTTATCCTTGTAAAATCATTACCAAGAGGTTT